GCAGCACAGTGACTGACCGGTCGAGCAGGAAGCAGCACAGTGACTGACCGGTCGAGCAGGAAGCAGCACGGTGACTGACCGGTCGAGCAGGAAGCAGCACAGTGACTGACCGGTCGAGCAGGAAGCAGCACAGTGACTGACCGGTCGAGCAGGAAGCAGCACAGTGACTGACCGGTCGAGCAGGAAGCAGCACAGTGACTGACCGGTCGAGCAGGAAGCAGCACAGTGACTGACCGGTCGAGCAGGAATCAGCACAGTGACTGACCGGTCGAGCAGGAAGCAGCACGGTGACTGACCGGTCGAGCAGGAAGCAGCACAGTGACTGACCGGTCGAGCAGGAATCAGCACAGTGACTGACCGGTCGAGCAGGAAGCAGCACAGTGACTGACCGGTCGAGCAGGAAGCAGCACAGTGACTGACCGGTCGAGCAGGAAGCAGCACAGTGACTGACCGGTCGAGCAGGAAGCAGCACAGTGACTGACCGGTCGAGCAGGAAGCAGCACAGTGACTGACCGGTCGAGCAGGAATCAGCACAGTGACTGACCGGTCGAGCAGGAAGCAGCACGGTGACTGACCGGTCGAGCAGGAAGCAGCACAGTGACTGACCGGTCGAGCAGGAAGCAGCACAGTGACTGACCGGTCGAGCAGGAAGCAGCACAGTGACTGACCGGTCGAGCAGGAAGCAGCACAGTGACTGACCGGTCGAGCAGGAAGCAGCACAGTGACTGACCGGTCGAGCAGGAAGCAGCACGGTGACTGACCGGTCGAGCAGGAAGCAGCACGGTGACTGACCGGTCGAGCAGGAAGCAGCACGGTGACTGACCGGTCGAGCAGGAAGCAGCACAGTGACTGACCGGTCGAGCAGGAAGCAGCACGGTGACTGACCGGTCGAGCAGGAAGCAGCACGGTGACTGACCGTTCGAGCAGGAAGCAGCACGGTGACTGACCGGTCGAGCAGGAAGCAGCACAGTGACTGACCGGTCGAGCAGGAAGCAGCACAGTGACTGACCGGTCGAGCAGGAAGCAGCACAGTGACTGACCGGTCGAGCAGGAAGCAGCACGGTGACTGACCGGTCGAGCAGGAAGCAGCACGGTGACTGACCGGTCGAGCAGGAAGCAGCACGGTGACTGACCGGTCGAGCAGGAAGCAGCACAGTGACTGACCGGTCGAGCAGGAAGCAGCACAGTGACTGACCGGTCGAGCAGGAAGCAGCACAGTGACTGACCGGTCGAGCAGGAAGCAGCACAGTGACTGACCGGTCGAGCAGGAAGCAGCACAGTGACTGACCGGTCGAGCAGGAAGCAGCACAGTGACTGACCGGTCGAGCAGGAAGCAGCACGGTGACTGACCGGTCGAGCAGGAAGCAGCACGGTGACTGACCGGTCGAGCAGGAAGCAGCACAGTGACTGACCGGTCGAGCAGGAAGCAGCACAGTGACTGACCGGTCGAGCAGGAAGCAGCACAGTGACTGACCGGTCGAGCAGGAAGCAGCACAGTGACTGACCGGTCGAGCAGGAAGCAGCACAGTGACTGACCGGTCGAGCAGGAAGCAGCACAGTGACTGACCGGTCGAGCAGGAAGCAGCACAGTGACTGACCGGTCGAGCAGGAAGCAGCACAGTGACTGACCGGTCGAGCAGGAAGCAGCACGGTGACTGACCGGTCGAGCAGGAAGCAGCACGGTGACTGACCGGTCGAGCAGAAAGCAGCACAGTGACTGACCGGTCAAGCAGGAATCAGCACAGTGACTGACCGGTCGAGCAGGAAGCAGCACAGTGACTGACCGGTCGAGCAGGAAGCAGCACAGTGACTGACCGGTCGAGCAGGAAGCAGCACAGTGACTGACCGGTCGAGCAGGAAGCAGCACAGTGACTGACCGGTCGAGCAGGAAGCAGCACAGTGACTGACCGGTCGAGCAGGAAGCAGCACAGTGACTGACCGGTCGAGCAGGAAGCAGCACAGTGACTGACCGGTCGAGCAGGAAGCAGCACAGTGACTGACCGGTCGAGCAGGAAGCAGCACAGTGACTGACCGGTCGAGCAGGAAGCAGCACAGTGACTGACCGGTCGAGCAGGAATCAGCACAGTGACTGACCGGTCGAGCAGGAAGCAGCACAGTGACTGACCGGTCGAGCAGGAAGCAGCACGGTGACTGACCGGTCGAGCAGGAAGCAGCACGGTGACTGACCGGTCGAGCAGGAAGCAGCACGGTGACTGACCGGTCGAGCAGGAAGCAGCACAGTGACTGACCGGTCGAGCAGGAAGCAGCACAGTGACTGACCGGTCGAGCAGGAAGCAGCACAGTGACTGACCGGTCGAGCAGGAAGCAGCACAGTGACTGACCGGTCGAGCAGGAAGCAGCACCGTGACTGACCGGTCGAGCAGGAAGCAGCACGGTGACTGACCGGTCGAGCAGGAAGCAGCACGGTGACTGACCGGTCGAGCAGGAAGCAGCACGGTGACTGACCGGTCGAGCAGGAAGCAGCACGGTGACTGACCGGTCGAGCAGGAAGCAGCACGGTGATTGACCGGTCGAGCAGGAAGCAGCACAGTGACTGACCGGTCGAGCAGGAAGCAGCACAGTGACTGACCGGTCGAGCAGGAAGCAGCACAGTGACTGACCGGTCGAGCAGGAAGCAGCACAGTGACTGACCGGTCGAGCAGGAAGCAGCACGGCGACTGACCGGTCGAGCAGGAAGCAGCACGGTGACTGACCGGTCGAGCAGGAAGCAGCACAGTGACTGACCGGTCGAGCAGGAAGCAGCACAGTGACTGACCGGTCGAGCAGGAAGCAGCACAGTGACTGACCGGTCGAGCAGGAAGCAGCACAGTGACTGACCGGTCGAGCAGGAAGCAGCACCGTGACTGACCGGTCGAGCAGGAATCAGCACAGTGACTGACCGGTCGAGCAGGAAGCAGCACGGTGACTGACCGGTCGAACAGGAAGCAGCACAGTGACTGACCGGTCGAGCAGGAAGCAGCACAGTGACTGACCGGTCGAGCAGGAAGCAGCACAGTGACTGACCGGTCGAGCAGGAAGCAGCACAGTGACTGACCGGTCGAGCAGGAAGCAGCACAGTGACTGACCGGTCGAGCAGGAAGCAGCACAGTGACTGACCGGTCGAGCAGGAAGCAGCACAGTGACTGACCGGTCGAGCAGGAAGCAGCACAGTGACTGACCGGTGAAGCAGGAAGCAGCACAGTGACTGACCGGTCGAGCAGGAAGCAGCACAGTGACTGACCGGTCGAGCAGGAAGCAGCACAGTGACTGACCGGTCGAGCAGGAAGCAGCACAGTGACTGACCGGTCGAGCAGGAAGCAGCACAGTGACTGACCGGTCGAGCAGAAATCAGCACAGTGACTGACCGGTCGAGCAGGAAGCAGCACGGTGACTGACCGGTCGAGCAGGAAGCAGCACAGTGACTGACCGGTCGAGCAGGAAGCAGCACAGTGACTGACCGGTCGAGCAGGAAGCAGCACAGTGACTGACCGGTCGAGCAGGAAGCAGCACCGTGACTGACCGGTCGAGCAGGAAGCAGCACAGTGACTGACCGGTCGAGCAGGAAGCAGCACAGTGACTGACCGGTCGAGCAGGAAGCAGCACAGTGACTGACCGGTGAAGCAGGAAGCAGCACAGTGACTGACCGGTCGAGCAGGAAGCAGCACAGTGACTGACCGGTCGAGCAGGAAGCAGCACAGTGACTGACCGGTCGAGCAGGAAGCAGCACAGTGACTGACCGGTCGAGCAGGAAGCAGCACAGTGACTGACCGGTCGAGCAGGAAGCAGCACAGTGACTGACCGGTCGAGCAGGAAGCAGCACAGTGACTGACCGGTCGAGCAGGAAGCAGCACAGTGACTGACCGGTCGAGCAGGAAGCAGCACAGTGACTGACCGGTCGAGCAGGAAGCAGCACAGTGACTGACCGGTCGAGCAGGAAGCAGCACAGTGACTGACCGGTCGAGCAGGAAGCAGCACAGTGACTGACCGGTCGAGCAGGAAGCAGCACAATGACTGACCGGTCGAGCAGGAAGCAGCACAGTGACTGACCGGTCGAGCAGGAAGCAGCACAGTGACTGACCGGTCAAGCAGGAAGCAGCACAGTGACTGACCGGTCGAGCAGGAAGCAGCACAGTGACTGTCTGGTCGAGCAGGAAGCAGCACAGTGACTGACCGGTCGAGCAGGAATCAGCACAGTGACTGACCGGTCGAGCAGGAAGCAGCACAGTGACTGACCGGTCAAGCAGGAAGCAGCACAGTGACTGACCGGTCGAGCAGGAAGCAGCACAGTGACTGACCGGTCGAGCAGGAAGCAGCACAGTGACTGACCGGTCGAGCAGGAAGCAGCACAGTGACTGACCGGTCGAGCAGGAAGCAGCACAGTGACTGACCGGTCGAGCAGGAAGCAGCACAGTGACTGACCGGTCGAGCAGGAAGCAGCACAGTGACTGACCGGTCGAGCAGGAATCAGCACAGTGACTGACCGGTCGAGCAGGAAGCAGCACAGTGACTGACCGGTCGAGCAGGAAGCAGCACGGTGACTGACCGGTCGAGCAGGAAGCAGCACAGTGACTGACCGGTCGTGCAGGAAGCAGCACAGTGACTGACCGGTCGAGCAGGAAGCAGCACAGTGACTGACCGGTCGAGCAGGAAGCAGCACAGTGACTGACCGGTCGAGCAGGAAGCAGCACAGTGACTGACCGGTCGAGCAGGAAGCAGCACAGTGACTGACCGGTCGAGCAGGAAGCAGCACAGTGACTGACCGGTCGAGCAGGAAGCAGCACAGTGACTGACAAGGAAGCAGCACAGTGACTGACCGGTCGAGCAGGAATCAGCACAGTGACTGACCGGTCGAGCAGGAAGCAGCACAGTGACTGACCGGTCGAGCAGGAAGCAGCACGGTGACTGACCGGTCGAGCAGGAAGCAGCACAGTGACTGACCGGTCGAGCAGGAAGCAGCACAGTGACTGACCGGTCGAGCAGGAAGCAGCACGGTGACTGACCGGTCGAGCAGGAGGCGCACAATGTAGTCTTTGGGCATGTTGGGCAGCTGCCGTGAAAAGATGTTCTTCAACCCCACCAGCCTGCTCTGCTCCCAACGCACTCACACCCACCCATGCCCATGCCCATGCCCATGCCCCATGCCCATGCCCATGCCCCATGCCCATGCCCATGCCCCATGCCCCATGCCCCATGCCCCATGCCCCATGCCCCATGCCCCATGCCCCATGCCCCATGCCCCATGCCCCATGCCCCATGCCCCATGCCCCATGCCCCATGCCCCATGCCCCATGCCCCATGCCCCATGCCCCATGCCCCATGCCCCATGCCCCATGCCCCATGCCCCATGCCCCATGCCCCATGCCCCATGCCCCATGCCCCATGCCCCATGCCCCATGCCCCATGCCCCATGCCCCATGCCCCATGCCCCATGCCCCATGCCCCATGCCCCATGCCCCATGCCCCATGCCCCATGCCCCATGCCCCATGCCCCATGCCCCATGCCCCATGCCCCATGCCCCATGCCCCATGCCCCATGCCCCATGCCCCATGCCCCATGCCCCATGCCCCATGCCCCATGCCCCATGCCCCATGCCCCATGCCCCATGCCCCATGCCCCTTTCCCATGCCCCATGCCCCATGCCCCATGCCCATGCTCATGCTCGTGCCCGTGCCCATGCTCATGCCCATGCCCATGCCCATTCGTGCCCACACCCATGCCCGGAAGGACGAAGGGAAGAGAGCAGGTTGTAGAGAAGGGAAGCATGGACAGTGGGATGTGGGAGGGAGAGGGAGGAGGGCGGATTGGAAGAGGAGAAGGAAGCACCTGCACACCATCGCCACATGCCTTGTGAGGCATCCAAATGTCATACGTATCCCAATGAAACGAGCACACCCAGCCATAAATATCCGACCCTGCTACACCACATCAAGTCAGTTTGCCTCACATCACCATGGCTCCGATCCCACCATCACACCCGCCTTACCATGCTCACCGCCTTACCATGCCACATCGTAGACTTAGCCTCGCCATACCCGAACCCACAGTACCATCATCACCTGCCCTCTCATGTCATGTCATGCCATGCCATGCCATGCCATGCCTCAGCTTGTTACCATGCATCTTACCACCATGCCTTACTATAGCATGTGTGTGCACCATGCCTTACCATATCATATGTTCGTCCACCCCATCATTTCGGCAGCATATGAATTTCAAAGTGCCAGCCACCTCCTGCCACCACAGGTTGGGTGGGGTGGGGTAGGGTGGGGCGGGGTGGCATGGGGGGTTGAGTGGGATTGGGTGGGGGGACACAGGCTACATGAAAAGCGAGCAGAGAGGAGGGAATAAGGAAAGACGGGAAGGCGACGAGGTGCTGGGGGAGGCGACGAGGTGCTGGGGGAGGCGACGAGGTGCTGGGGGAGGTAAAAGATGCTGCAGAGAATGGAGATGAAGAGACGAGGTACGGGCGGAGGAGAAGCGAGGAACGGCGGAATGAAGACAGGGGAGGGGAATGTGAAGGCTGGCATGGCATGCAGGGGTTACAGGCACCCATGTCATTCCACCGAATCCCCTCCAATGCAACCACGCCAGTGCTCTTCCACCCTCCCTGCTCACACCTCCCTGCTCACACCTCCCTGCTCACACCTCCCTGCTCACACCTCCCTGCTCACACCTCCCTGCTCACACCTCCCTGCTCACACCTCCCTGCTCACACCTCCCTGCTCACACCTCCCTGCTCACACCTCCCTGCTCACACCTCCCTGCTCACACCTCCCTGCTCACACCTCCCTGCTCACACCTCCCTGCTCACACCTCCCTGCTCACACCTCCCTGCTCACACCTCCCTGCTCACACCTCCCTGCTCACACCTCCCTGCTCACACCTCCCTGCTCACACCTCCCTGCTCACACCTCCATGCTCACACCTCCCTGCTCACACCTCCCTGCTCACACCTCCCTGCTCACACCTCCCTGCTCACACCTCCATGCCCATCATCCCTCCTTCCACCGCACATCACCCGCCACCCCCTTCTCCCGCCGCCCACCTCCGCGTGCAGGCTCGCTTCCCGCGCGCAGTAAGCGCCGCTCGCCGCCTGATCCTTCCCCCCGTCCTCCGCTTTCTCGCCGCCGCCTGCCCCTTCTTGCGCCTGGCCCTCTCCGCGCGCCTCCGCCTTCGCGTCCCCTCCGCCCGCCTCTCCCCCGCGCGCCACTGCCTTCTCGTCGCCCTCCGCCGCCCCGTCAGCGTCGTCGAATCCCCCGCCAAATTCCGCCCCGCCTCCGCCGATTTCCCCGCCCCCTGCGATATCAAATCTCCGCTCGTGGTTTTCGGCGCTACCCCAACCGCCCCTCCCATCCGTTCCCATCACAGCAGAATGATTCTCGTAGAATGCTTCTCGCGGCCTTTCGTGCGAACCGTGTTACAATCTCCACGGTCGTTTCGTCGTTAATCCAGGCGATTCTCGCGAGCTGGATAGTCAGCTGGGGAGCGACGTGAGTGCGATTGGTCTATCCGAGCTCATAAGAAGAGGTTCTCCTACCATTTGCAGCCCGAAGCAAGCCTTCCTCAGGCGTTTGACTGTCCGTTCTTGAACAACTGGGCGGATGGTTTGCATCGAGGGGGTGTTTGAGGACGTGTCACCCTATCGATTTTGCAGGATCGATCTTCAAAAACCGATCTTTCACCGTACTTGAAACCTTTACGTTACACTGAAAATACTTGAAACCGTTAATCTCTCCGTAAACATTCGACTCTGCGCAGGATCTATCGTGCAAAAATGAAGAGGTGACCCGTCGTCATCTACTCTATTCAGTCCCCTCTGCATCTGCGATGCTGCTGAGTTACAATTGAAAAATTCGTACAAGTTACGAGGTGTGCGAAAAACTCTGCAAGTGTCGATTACGTCGCCAGTGCCGAGAGGTACGTGGGGAACTGTTCTGGGAAGTCGATGGTTACCCCATGAAGCTGAACTTGTGGTTCCCAACCCACCCCAGTTCCAAAACAATTTTGGCGGGAACCTTCCACCCCCTTCCCCCCTTTACCTCGCCCGCGCCTTCCGCGCGAGGGATGCTTGTCCCCCTTCGTTTCGCTCGGACGCTGCTTCACAGTCAACGGAGCAAATTGAGCGTCGCGACGGGGTCGTGCTCCCTCTCTCCCTCTCGCTCTCCCACTCCTGCGTCGTGTTTTCCCCTCGTTCCTGTTTTATTTGCACCACGCACGTCGCCCGGGTCGCGCTGGTCGCCCGGGTCGCGCTGGTAGCGCGGATCGTGCAGGTCGCGCGGATCGTGCAGGTCGTGCGGATTGCGCGGCACATTCGAGGGCGTGAAGGGGCTGCCATCTCGAGCAGCAGCACGTGCGAGCAGCTCTGCGCGCCCTACTGGATGATGCTGCGCCACCCCACGTCAGTCCCCTCAACCCCTCGGCCCCGCCCTCCCCTCCCGCCCTCCCTTGCCCCCTCGCTCCCTCGCTCCCTCGCTCCCTCCTCCTCCCAACGCACGAGTTGCGCTGTTGATGTCCATCGCGCATCAGCTGGCGCACCTGTCCACCACCTTCCCACCACCTCACGCGGCCAGCCAGCCGGGCAAGGCTGTTACATACATCGGCCCTGATGCCATCAATTCCATACCCTGATCACGCCTTTCCCTCCTCTTCTCTGTTCCCCTGTTCTCCACCCACTTTTTACTTCATCCCTCCCATCCCCAGTGCTGCAGAGGCCCTCGTTGCAAGAACACTCATTGTGTCGCACACCGCTCCTGTGTCACGCCATAGAGCCCGCATGCCCCGCCCCTTCGCCGCCTGCACAGCAGCCCTCTCTCTCCCGCGCGCTCCCCGTGCCTCTCCCACCCTGTTCGTCCTGCCACCTCGCACCACCCACTCAGTAACCAGCCTCCCCTGCGCACACACCCGGCACAATCAGCACACCCAGCACGCGTCCAGCAGGCAATCCTCTCGCACGCAGCACACACAGCAGTGCCGCAGCAGCAACCACGTGTTTGTGCCGCCATCACCACCATCAGCTGTCGGCCTGCTCCCTTCCAGTCGTCAAGCGCACGCAGGGCGAGTGAGTGCCCTCCACTCCCCTCCGCACACCGTCTGCGCCGCCACGAGCCGACAAGGTGGGGGCATGGCTGGGACTGCTGCCGACGCTGCAGCAGAGCAGCCAGCTGGGCCAAGCGCTGTGGAGGGCGCAGAGGGGACTGTGGCACAGGGGGGAGCAGAGGGAGGCTCCACAGGCGCGCTGGGGACGAGCGGGGAAGGGGAGGGGGCACTGCAGGGGAGTGGGGAGGGGCAGGGGCAGGGGCAGGGAGAGGGGACAGGGGAGGAGGAGGACCCGTTGGTGCAGCACGTGGTGATTCGGCGCGATCTGATAGAGGCGCTGCAGTGGCCGCTGGGGTCCGTGATCACTCAGGGCTGCCATGCCAGTGTGGCCGTGCTGTGGCAGCACCGCCACCACCCCAACGTGCTCAAGTACTGTGGCCAGCTCGACTCCATGCGCAAGGTGGGTTGCAATGCAAGGTGGGTTGCAATGCAAGGTGGGTTGCAATGCAAGGTGGGTGCGTCAATGCCACGTGGGCATTGCTGCTCGCACGCTCACTCAACAACTCGCATGTCTGGCTCTCAACAACTCGCATGTCTGGCTCTCAACAACTCGCATGTCTGGCTCTCAACAACTCGCATGTCTGGCTCTCAACAACTCGCATGTCTGGTTCTCAACAACTCGCATGTCCGGTTCTCAACAACTCGCATGTCTGGCTCTCAAGCACCCAGTGGTTCGAGGTTATGCGTTCAAGCTCGAAAGTTGGAACCTTATACCCTTGATTGAGCTTGCCGAATTCGAATTGCACACTGTCGCTTCACATGGTACTCTGGAATGGACCTTTCTTACCTACCGGGGGTGAGGTTTGCAGCACTTGTGTTATCGGCAATTCGTTGTTTTGAATTTGTGGAGGTGGGTCACAAACCTGCTCACTGCCCCTTGGGCATTGCTGCGCACCCGCGCGCTCAACAACTTGTGGCTCTCAATAAGCTTGTTTCTCAGGGCACCCAGTGTTTTAATTGATAGGTGGCATTTGGATTGCATGGACTTTTTTTTTGTGGGCACGTGATTAGACACTACACAATCTTGCTTCACATGGCCGTCTCACTTCTTTTTGTTGAAAACACAAGTGGTTGAGTTTACAGTTGTGAAGTAATAGCATTTCCAGGAGTCGTCATCCGCTTAACCACTGGCAGCTGTGTTTCCCCCCTGTCGTTTATCACTGATTCACTGCATGCTTTGCCTTTCACCTCTGGAAGTCGTGTTCCACTTTAATTTCTTTGGCTATGTGTGACCCGTCCTGCAAGTTTTTTTCATTTTATGTATATTTTTCAAAATTCACAACCCTCACTCATCTCTCCTTGTTCTTTTCAATCTCTTCTCTCCCTCGTCCTCTTCCGCTTCCTCTCACTTGAGTGTTTATCCACAACCTTCGTAGCAGCTTCTAGTTTCCTCTCACCCCTTGTCTGATGCCCCCTATTGCTGCATTGTTGTACCCTTACCCCTTGCAAATTCCATTCCCCTTTGGACCTCCAAGCACAGCACAGATGTTCACGCCATTTGACCTGTTCACTTGTTGCCATTCTAACTTCACCCTCTCCCCTCCCCCCCCCCCCCCCCCCTGCCAAGCTCCTCTTTGTGCATGATACAATCGCTATCCCAATGCCACATCACCACAGTCTAAGATCTTAACTGCAGATTTAAAGCAGCTATAACACAGCCTCGTTACAGCCATGAATTTCTTCGTGTGCCGCCTTCTCCGGTGTCGTGCTCCTGCTGTTTTTTCCCCAAACAATGCTCCTCCCCGTTCTGCCCAAACCCACCCTCCCCCCCCTACCCCCCACCCCCACACCAACCCCTCCACTCCCCCCGTTCGTCCCCCCACACACAGGTGACACTGGAGGTGAAGGGGGAGACGCAGCTGTTGAATTTGTCCAAGAAGCTACAGGAGGCGGGCATCACGCACCGCGTGTGGATGGAGCAGCCTGAGAACATGCCCACGTGCATCGCCACTCTCCCACATCCCAAGAGCGTTGTTGCGCCTCACATGAGGAAGCTCAAGCTGTGTAAATGAAGGGGTTGTTGTGGGTCTACGAGTAGATGTTATACTGCGGAAAATGTTTTCAAGATGAGGCGACTCTTGTTGCTTGTTTATATCCACGATGATCCAAAAACCTGAATTAGCAGGTACTCCGTGGAAGAAGCAATTAGTAGCAGCCTCATGTAAATACATGGTTCTTTTCGGAATGTTCCAATGTTCGTCAATGCTGATACAATCGTGAACCTGTCAATAACAGGGACGATTGACCAGCACCAACATTTTCCACGTCGGCGCTCGCAACGGCATATCTGCTAGCGCTCAATTTCCCGGTTCCTTCGAAAACACACTGCACTTCTGTCGAGGCGCGCAACTTCAAATATTGCGCGGCTCGACGCCACCGTCAAATCAACCAACCCAGCAGGAGTGTCTGCCGTGCTCCCCGCCGCCTCATTCGTCTCACGTTCTCCGCCTCCCAACACAAGGTAGCTCAGCCAGCATGAGCGAAACACCTTCACTCGCACCACGAAGCGCTGTGGCGGTTTTTTGTCCCCAGAATCAGCCATGATGTGAGTGCGACAGGCAGACAGGTAGCATGCGAGTATTTAGCTGAATGAGTTCGACTGAAGTTACATGGTGGATACCAGCCCTCAGCAGTAGGTGCTAGTTTTGCGAGGCACCACCATGACGCACCAGAGAGCTGCTACGGATGGCGGCTACTAACATGACACACGCATTCAGTGCGCTAGGCTACTAACATTAGAGCGGACAGGGTAAGTTCTCGTTGACGCAGCACTACTAAGTGTCGGATTAGTTTAATTCTTTCTCGAAGGCCTTGACCGGCCCATGGCATGCAGCCCGCCTCGCAGCACAGCCTTTCTCCAAGGCACAATCAGCGCATATCATCCACCTCCGCGCGCGTTATTTGGTCCTTTTCCACGCTCACGTTCGAGCCTCGTGAAAGGTGAGCACGTTTTCAACCTTCAAATTCCACGGCTAAATTCGTTTTCGCCTACGGGCCGAAATTTATCTCGTTACCATTCTACGAACTTACCTTTCCCCTGTGCGCTGTGCTCTCTCCGTGTGCCACTTGCTCCTCAGGAAATGACGACATCTTATGTGTGGATATATTCCAGTCGCGCAAGCCTCAGCAACCGTCGTACATTGTCGCACGGACTTCTGTGCGATGCGACTCAGGTCGCCAGTGTTCGTCTCGTCGCCAGAGCCAGCATTCGGTGAGCGCAGGCGCGACAGCGCGGACGAAGGGGGCAAGAAGCCCTGCCTGCGCGGCGACCGCTGAGCGGCTGCGGGCGCGGAAGGAAGGCAGCGCGCCGAAGAAAGCGGAGGTACCCGCGCCGGGTGCTGGGCGCGCCAAGGGCGAGCTTGACGCATTCGAGACGTGGCTGTGCGGCGGAGAGGCTCACAGAGAGAGCGTGAAGGGGGAGAAGGACGGCGGCGGCAGGGGCGCAGGCAGACCGCGGGGCGGCCCAGCGCAGCCGCTGACGGCTCCGCAGGTGAGAAGCGAGTGCGCGGAACGGCTTCCCATTAGAGGCAGTCCGTGCGGCTTTCAACTCATCCACGTCTCACGTCGCCCACACCTGCAAATTCGGTGCTTCCCGAGTCATCGCGAGCCATCTCTCACCCCCTCTTCTCCCTTCCATCCCCTCCACTTTCCTCTACCCATTCCTGCAGCGAGCGGCACAACCGCGGGAGCAGAAGTTGAGCGGAGGCGACCGCGCGAGCCAGAAGACGGGGCAGGCCGCCTCCGCTGAGAGCAGGAAGGCGGCGGAGGGGCGCGGGGCTCGTGGCGGAGAGACGCACTCCGCCTCGAACGCGCAGCAGAGCAAATCCGGTGAAGCCTCGCGCTGCCGTGGCAGCAGCGGTAACGGAACCAGCAGTGACACGGCCGTCAACAGCAACAGCAGCAAAGGCAGCAGGAGCAGCAGGAGCATTGGGTGTACAAAGGCCGGGCGGGAACTGCCCAAGCAAGGTCGACCTACCGGTGGCGAGGCTGCACCATTTGGAACCGCCGGTCGACCAAGAAGGGTTCGGAACTCGTATGGTTCGTTAGCTGACGTGGCAATGGCCGGCATGACGTGGATTGCCGGGCCCGAGAGAGTTAAGATTGTGGGGAGCGTGCAGCGGTGGAGGGAGGGCGAGGGGCGGGAGGGGCGGGTGCTGGTGGAGAAGGCAGTCGTGTCACTGCAGCTTTTCCTGCCGCTCTCGCTCGTCGACCTGTCGCTGCGTGCCATGTGGCAGGCCATCATGAGTAGGTGGCCCGGCGTGTGTTCGAGCTGGGTGGGAGCGGCGGTGCAGGCGGCTTGTCGTGTGGGCTGTTGGTTCTCGCGACTGAAAGCGTGGTGTGTGGCGCTGGGTGTGCTGCGAGCATTGCATCTGCTTCTCTGTGCGGTCAAGCCCAGGCAAAGTGCCGGATGATGCTGTGTCCGATATGACCATGCGCCTGTGGATTCTGACTTACTGATCATGCTAAACTGGGTGAGTAGGATAGTCTAATCTTTTTGTACAGATTGTGGATGTATTGTGCCTTATAATATTCAACACAAGGATTTGTGTGCCCTTCTCTCCATTCCATCACCATGTAGACTTTATTGTCAAAATGAGGAATGGATGATGCATTGATGTTGGTTGGGGTACATATAGCTAACCCTAAGTTTTGTACCCCCTAAGACAAACCTCATTATAGGCTACAACATTTGACACACCCCCATAGCCTAAGTGAGGGGTGTCTAGCAGAACCAAACGAGTACGGTCACAAGACCAGTCCAAGAAACGAAGCTCAGGGTGGATCACAACGTCACCACACAGTCTGAGCACAAACAACAGTGGCCACAAGGCCAGTCCAAGAAGTAACAGAGGTATATAGAAAGCAAAGTAAACAGTACACTCAAGTCTAAGCAACACGAGAACCAGTGTCAACAAGGCCTAACTGCACACAGCACCTCTGGTGGTCACAAGGCGGAAGCGCCTTGGTGAAGATGTCTGCAGTGTTGGCCTCGGACTCCACAAACTCAAAGCGAGCCTGTCCACGCCTCTGCAACTCTCGCAGAAGAAAGTACCTGACGTGAATGTGCTTCACTCTGCTCTCCAGTTGTGGCTCTCGACAAAGGAGAATAGACGCCTTGTTGTCAGTGAACAAGGTCGGTGCAGAGCTCGGCCGCTCACCAAGGTTGGTGAGCAAGAAGGTCAACCAACGCAGCTCCTGTGCCGCCATGGCACCAGCGTAGATCTCAGCCTCAGCTGTAGAGGTCGAGACAGAAGAGGAGCGCGTGGACCGCCAGGAAACAGCTCCAGAACCCAGGCTGAAACAGTACCCCTGAGTAGACCTGTGAGTCTCAGCGTCGTCAGCGTAAGAGGAGTCACAGTGACCAGTAAGTACGACAGACTGCTGCCCTCCAAGAACTAGCCCCACGCCTGACGTCGTCGCTAGGTACTTCGCCACCCTCACAGCTGCTGTCCAGTGAACAGGACGGTGTCTCCCTGGCGCAACAAAGCGCGCAAGAACGCTGAGAGGGAAGGCGAGGTCCGGGCGAGTACAAGTCATCAGGTACATGAGGCAACCCACAAGCTCTGCGTAGGGACCACTAGGCTCGAACGGCTCGTCAGGAAAGGGTCCAGTGAGTCTGTGGTCAACAGCAAGAGGTGTGCGCTGTACTGTGGAGTGCTGAAGCCCGAACCGCTGAAGGACCTGCTGCACCATGTGCGACTGTGAAAGTGTAATGGTGCGAGCAGCTCTGTCCCTGGTGATCTGCAGGCCAAGGTAGTGGCGCAGCTCACCAAGATCAGTGCAGGTGTGTCTCTTCTGCAGTTCGGACTTCACGTGTGCCAAAGCAACCCTGTCAGGGGTGGCGAAAACAAGGTCGTCAACGTAGACCAGAACAAAGAAAGGTGTGGGGCCACGACGAACGAACAGCGACGGGTCAGCAGAAGACGGCTGGAACCCAAGGTCAGACAGGGTAGAACGCAGGGTGTCGTGCCACTCACGAGGAGCCTGACGAAGACCGTAAACTGGTCGCCTCAGCCTCCACTGGGTCCCAGGAGGGAAAGAGCCAGTGAAGGCAGAGGGACGACGCAACCAGACCTCCTCGTGAAGACTGCCCTGAAGGAAAGCAGTAGAGAAGTCAAGAGAGTGTAACTCGTAGTCTCTCTGTGCTGCTACGTGTAGTAACACCCGAAGAGTGGTCATCTTCGGGGTGGGCGCGAAGGTCTGAAAGAAGTCAACTCCCTCGCGCTGACTGAAACCTCTAGCCACGTAGCGTGCCTTGAAGACCGGAGGAGATCCCGGTGGCCGCTTCACCCTGTAGATCCACATGCCGTCGACTACGTTCGCCCCCGGAGGGGGAACCTCATCGACGTAGGTGCCTGTGGATCTGTAGGAGGCCATCTCTGCGTCCATGGCAGCTCTCCACTGAGAGGCCCAAGGCCCTGACACTGCCTCAGCGTAAGTGCGAGGAGTCGGAATGTCAAGGGCGTCGGGGTCACCCTCAGGGGCGAGGAGCATGGCACAGAGATGAGGGGAAGCGGCGGCCAGGAACTCTAGCTCAAACTGCCTGTCCTCTAGGGCGTCACAGCCAAGGGCAGACACACCCCCGACGGCCAGAGGACTGGAAGGAGGAGCAGCCACAAGAGCGGTGGCGAAGTCAAGGCGGCGGGTAGAGGCAAAGTCAGTGACTGCGGCAGTAAGAGCGGACACAGAGGACACAGAGGCACGAGGGTGAGTAACAAGCGAGGCGAGAACACGAGAGAGAAGAGGACGGTACGTGCGGTAGTAGTCAGTGACAGGAGTAGGGAGCGACGCAGTGAGAGCCGACTCAGGAGGAGACGGAAGCACAGACGGAGACGGACGAGGTGGACTAGAACGAAGTAAGGCAGTACGAAGGTCAGTGAAGGGAACAGGAGACGAGGGACGAGCACGAGGGGAGCGACGAGAGGCCCAAGTCTGAGAAGGAGGAGGGGACAACGAAGACTGAGAACGAGGGAAAACAGCGGGAGAGGGGTCAGGAGGAGGAAGCGGAGGACCAGAGACGGGAGGAGAGGGGGAGGAGGAAGGAGAGGGAGAGGGGAGACCAAGGGTCCGAAGACCCGAGACAGGAGGAGGAGACGGCAGCTGCTGCTGCTGCGGCTGCTGCGGCTGCTGCTGCTCCAGCGGCTGCTGCCCCTGCTGCTGTCGCTCCTGCTCCTCGAGCCGCTGCAACTCTCTCTCCTCTCTCTCCAACTCCAGCTGCTCCTCACGAGCACGGCGAACACGAGCCTGGAACCTGGTCGGGTAGGGGTGGGGGGAAGGAGTAGTGTCCGGGGCAGCGGCAGCCCCAGAGTCGACCTCCGAAGCACCAAGCACACCACCCCCAGAGGCAGCACCAACACCAGCTCCAGACCCAGGCTCTCCAGAAACCGAAGGGACACCCTCACCCCCAGACGCAGCACCCCCAGACTCCGCACCAGCACCCCCAGACTCCGCACGACCAGTACCAGCCCCCGGAAGACAAGAGTCCTCTGCAACCCGCGGCTCAGCTCCAACTCCAGCACCCCCAGAACCAGAGACCTGTACAGGGACAGTCGCAGGACCAACCTCCCGAGAGGGAGCACCTGCAGGAGGCGGCGAGGAAGACTGTGGGGAGGGAGGCTGTACCGGAGGGGCTACCGAAGGAGGAGGGGTAGCCTGGGACACACCTGACGGGGCTGGACCAGGGGGGGAGGCTGTACCGGGGGAGCAGGCGGGGGAGCGGCGGTCAGGAAGAGAGGGGGGGGAGGGACCGGGAGACCTCGACTGGGGTACCTGACGTAGTAGGGGGTGGACTCCTCGAAACGGACGTCACGGGAGTCAAAGAACCGGTGAGAGGGAGGGTGGTAAAAGGTGAAGTCAGAGGAGTCCTCAGGGAAACCAAGGAAGACACAAGGAACGGCGCGAGGCGAGAGCTTGTCCGCGGAGGTGTCGCGGACAAGAGCCAAGCACCCCCAGACACGAAACCTCGACGCGACACCAGGGGACCCTGTCCAAAGACTGGTCGGTGAAGCCTCCGGCCGAGAGACGCGTGGCCAGAGGTTCAGCTGGTGCGCGGCGTACCTGACTGCGTATGGCCACAGGAAATGGGGGGCACGGGCGTGAGTCAAGGAGGTGCGGGCAATCTCCATGACCAGGCCTATGCGACGCTCAGCAACCCCATTCTGCTGTGGGGACTCCGGAAGCGTCCAGGACTGACGAATGCCCTGTTCGCGACAGAATCCAGCGAGAATGCCGGAGCGAAACTCGCCCCCGCGGTCGGAGTGGAGACAGCTGACACGACGACCACGAGTGTCCTGGGTGGTAAGCAACCACCTGATCAGCGTAGAAGTCACCTCAGACTTCCTCGCCAGGGGGAACACTGTGGTGTAGCGGGAGTAGTCGTCAACGACCACCAAAAAGAAACGCTCACGCTCAGGGCCAGGGCGAGGAGAGGGGCCCCAGACGTCCAAGTGCAGCGTCTCAAAAGGCTCGGTGGCCGGACGAAGGGAGGAGGAGTGAGGGGTGGCACGCAGCCTACCCTCGACGCAAGGACCGCACGGTGGTGCAAGGGACGGCGGCAGCGACGGCAAGACACGCGGGAGACCTAAGACCAGACGCTGACTAGACATAGCACGCAGACGTGGAAGAGAAGGGTGTCCCATCCGGTGGTGCCACAGAACGGTGGGGTGGGCAAGCGACCGACAGGAGCAAGACGCAGCGACTGGACTGGACGCGACAACCTGAGGGGACGGAACCACCTGGTGAGACGCAGGGAGGAGACTAGGGGGAGGGACAGGAACTGGGAGGAGTGGCTGCTGCGACGGCGGCCGCTGTGGCTGCGGCTGCGGCTGCTGCCGCTGCTGCTGCTGCGGCTGCTGCTGCTGCTGCTGCTGCTGCGGCTGCTGCTGCTGCTGCAGTCGCTGCTGAGCGCGCGGGCCAGTGTGAAGAGTGTAGAGACCGGAGCCCGGCTCAGCAGCAAAAGTGGCGAGGGGCTGGTAAGAGTCCCCGTCAACACACACCGCAGTCTCTCCAGAAGGCTCAAACCACACACCCACGTGCTGACTCACGAGGGGTCGCACGCCCACCAAGTTCCGGGAGAACGAGGGGACGTGAAACCCAGTGAGAGACCCAGAAGGAGCAGCCGGACACGGCAAGGTGGTAGTGTGACGCGCGGTGACTGGTCCCGAAGTGGGATCAGCCAGCGCCACAGAAACAGGCGCAGGAAGAGGCGTAAGTGTCGTGCTGTCACGAAAGAAGCAGTGAGAGGCTCCAGAGTCCAGCGTGAACGACAGCAAACCGTCCTCTGAGGTAGCCGCTGGACTAGAGTCTACACAAGAACCTACACTAGCAACAGGCAACTGAGCAAGGCTAGCACCTAAGCTAACAACACCAGAGTAAGCAGAGTCAGAAACACTAGAGTCAACAACAGCATACATAGCATGAGGAGCACCAATCAGATCAACTAACTGCTCAGCAGACAT